GGTTGGGGTCCCTGGGTGAAGGGAGGACTGGGACAGGAGCAGGAGCTCCAGCCGGGTCCGGCTGCTGGGGTGGGTCATGGAAAAAACCAACAAAAAAACGACAGCAAACTGCAAGAGCTCCCTCCAGCTCTGCCGTTGTTTCTGAGAGGAGAAAGGACACCAAGTTTTGTGCCTCCCTGCGCAGGCTGCTGGGCAGCCGCAAATTCACGATGCTCATGATCTGCATCATCTCCATCAACGCCGTCTCCCTGGCCCTGGAGACCAGCCACCGCTCCCGGTTGTGCCGGGGTACCTTTTTCGAGGTGAGGCATGGGGGCACTCTCCCACGTGCCGTGGCCAGGAGGGGAGGGACGGAGGGGGTGAGGGTCTGGCCCCCGCGGCCGCTCGGGGTGGCTGCCAGCCCACCGTCCTCCCCCGCGCCATTGTCTGCACCAGCCCAGGGCCTGGCTGCAACGCATTTCAGCTTCAGATCGCTTCACTTATTTGATAGTTATTGTTCTTAAAATGCAATTGTTCGGCCCTTTCCATGGCAGCCCTTTCCACCCTCGTGGTTTTAGCACAGCTAGTTTTAAGCACCCTTTTAATACTCAATTTTCACATTGAAAAATCCCTCTTGGTCACACTCCTTGATTTCCTTGTCTTACACAAGCCAGCTACTGTACGCAAACCTCTGAGCCTTAATTATATATCCCAGTAATATATAGCTAGGCCTGGCTAATGTCAAGAAACCCAGTCATGAGCGTCGGAGGTTTCCAAGAGCTCTGGCTGCAGGACCGGGCTCCGAGGGGAAGCGAGCGGCGCGTGCCCAGCTCCGAGGGGCCGATGGGGTGCCTGGTGCATTGGGATGCAGCCAGGACCCTCCCGTGCTGGGCAGTGACCCGTGATGACGACTGCGGTGGGATGAACTCGGCTTGCGTTTGAAACGGTCCCCGTGGGCAGAGGGACGTTGCTGGGGACATTTAATATGAAAGTGCTGGCTTGGCACGTGGGGTCTGGCAGCCACAGGCAGCTGCCCGGGCTCACCTCCTCCTCTCTCCAGGTCACAGATGCTTTCTGCATCGCTATTCACACCACCGAGCTTTTGCTGAAGCTGTACGTGGATCCCATTGCCTACTGGAAGAGCAGCTACAACATCTTGGATGCCGCCATCCTCCTCGTTGCCTTCCTCCCGCATGCCTCGCCCGCAGACACCGCCGCGTGCACCCACCTGGAGGGGACGACCGAAGGTCTCCAGACCCTCCGCATACTCAAGCCCATCAAGCGCGGCAGCGGGATGAGGGTAAAGCACTGCTCTCTAGTTAAGGCACAGCAGAGAGGGGGGATCCAAGCCCAGGGGCGGGGGGAGGCTTTGCTGTACCCAGGTGTCGGGGGCCGCCTGGCCCGAGAGGGGCTGATGCTTGCGGTAGCTCGTGAGCAAAGGCGAAAACTAATAATTCCTGATTTTTTAAGAAGCCCATGGCTTGGCCATTGGGTTTTTTCCCCTGTTTCTCCTTCCCCCAAGGAGAGGAGAGATTTTCTTTTTTACTACCGCAGAGTAGATGCAAAAAAACTCCTATAACACATAGGTCACGTCCTATTCTTGGTCTGTGTGTATTTTTTTCTCCAGCACGCCATCTCCTACTTAGTTTTCTCCTGACTACTCTGGAGGTTTGTTTTTCAGCAAGGAGCTTATGTAGGCAATGAATGCTCAGCCAGCATTTCTGCGTGTAATTAATTGGCTGGGTAGCCCACCAGAAGTGGGATGTTTATGGGCACAGGGCTCTTATAATGTTCACTTCTGAGCCTTCATTCCTCTAGTTTGGATCGTAAACTTTACTTATCACCAGACTTTTATATGTTAATTATTCTGTGTTGCTGGGAGAAGGGAGGACATGTAGAAGCACATGAAATAATGAACGGTTTCGGCATGGGGGATCAGATGCTCCAGTTTGGTCTGGCTGATTATAAGAGAGCAAATTGATGCATGGCAAAATGGGGAGGCATTTAAATCAGGGCAAGTGTGTGTTTGTTGGTTTGAGCCTCACGCTATGCACTTGTGGAACTCACTGCCAGGAGATGCCTTGTCTGGGGACCACGAGGAAGAAAACCTGTAGGATAAGATTTGGCACCGTTCCCCCCTGAGACACTTAAAACATTGAGGTGCTTTGAAAAAAAATCCCACTCAGCACAAATCTGCAAGTTTAAGAGCCTAAATGCCTTTGAAAATCTGGGCCATGCAACACTAGGTTTTGATGGAAGTCGGTGGGACTTAACACCTAAGGGACTGGGGCCACTGGGAAAGTGCATCCTGGCTTTGGGTGGGAATGCCTAGAATGGCATTACTGGGGGAAAAAAATACCAAAGAGGAAAATTCTTTAGGCTCTCACAGTCCCTTCCTGTTCCAGGGATGCTATAAATACCCTGCAAAGCCCTGCCGTGCCGCTGCTTTCCAGCTCCAGGGGTGTTTGGTACTTGCCTTTGTCTCCTGACCTGAAGGGACAAGTGCCCTGAGCCACTTGGCATCCCAAGAGACAACACCTCTTTGCCTAAAATTTGTTTTAAAATGTGATAGGGCTGTCTAAATGCATTTTGCTGAAGGTGCAGGAGGTTGTTTATGCCTCTGTGTGTATTGTAATTTATTAATTGAAGCCTAAATTAGCCCTCAACAGGTTAGCAGTATTTAATGCAGAGAGCTCAAACATGCAACACATTCTTGGCACGTTTCCCTTTATTAATTAAAAACCTCTTTAAAACACTCTGCCTTCCACCTTGGAGCAATAAATTTCCACCTTGAGGATATAATTTCCTTGTTGTATTCCATACAGAGACGTTCTGTTAGCTGCAATCCCTGTTTTAGTGTAGGCCCCATTCATCCTTATTTCAATTTCAAAATAAACTTTAAAAATGCCAGGTTGTTCTGTTTTAAAAAAAAAAAAAAAAAAAAAAAAGTAGAAAAAAATCGACTTTTCTGCTTTTTTAAAAATATATTTGGGATTAATTCCAATGTAGTTTACTAGCTGTGCAGACTGCGAACCACAAAGCTCCGTCTTAATAAAAGCTCGTAGGACTCCACAGCGGTTCCTGAAGCAGCCGGAGAAGCCTTGGCAATCGACAAGGAGGTGACGGTCCTGCGCCGGAGGCACTCGCCAGCCCGCAGTTGCTGGGAGCGTTTTAGGGCCCTCCTGTCACCCCCAGCTCTGGGTGGCTGGTTTTCTTTATGACCACGTGCCACAGCCCAACGCCATGACATAACTTGGCAAAAATGTCACCTGATTTTTGGGGTTGAATGGCTTTTGTTCCCCTGCCGGTCCTGTGCTGCGCCTGCTGGAGAGACCTACGTGTGCAGGGAGGCAGGGAAACCCTCCGCCGGCTCCTCAGGATCTCATACCAAACTCGGTGGGTTTAGGGCTGGACTAGTTTGGGTTTTCTGAGATGGTTCTGCAGATGATGCAGTTGCATGTGTTGTCTCTGCGTTGGATGCTGTCCTTCCCTGCTGCCCCATGCGTAGCGTGGTGGGACGATCATCTGGAGCAGGCAAGGCTTGCAAAAGCAGGAGTCCTTAACCCATCTCGGGGTGTCGGCAGCCGGAGGAGACTGGGAAGAGCCCCTTGCTCTACCTCTGCACAAACATCCCCTCGAGGCAGTACCATCCGAGCAGCTCAGAGCTTTAACTTGAGCTGCTCTTGACAGCCGGAGATGATGGATGGACAGTCCTTGAATGGGTGCACTGCGTAAGCCCCCCCCGGCACTAGCAGGTCCAGTGTTACCGGGGGAGCAGCCAGCCCATGCTGCCGCTGCTTTCCAGAGTAATGCAACGTGGATGCAAGAGACTGCACGTAGTTGTCTGTGATTTGGAGTTCATGGGAAAGTTTGCATTTGCCTAAAAGTCGTTACCAACGATAAGCTCAGTTCACCAATCCAGCACTCCCAGCAACTCCCAGGAGTGTCTTTGTATACGTTGGTGTCATATGCAGGTCCTTACAAGCAGTGAGATGGGCTCAGAAGCAGTATCATGTCCCTTCCCGGTGACCCCGGGCTTTGCTTGGGGCTTTCCCAAGCTGGGCAACCACAGAGGGATGAGAGACGACTGCGGACTCCTGTCTCCCATCCTGGCCCATCCTGCATAGGGAGGAGCAGCTGGACGGTGAGGGCAGCAAAGATATCGTTCTACCTCCAGTTTGTGCTCAGACCCCAAGGCACAAGGGTTAATAGCACTGCTCGTTTTTATTCAGCTAATTTATTAATGCAGAAGCTTGGGAACAACTGTATCCTTTATCAACTCCGTTAGTAACCTGTCCGTATTTCAAAAGGCAGTGAGAAGCCCCTGTGTGCTAGGTGCGATGCTTCTGGGACCAAGCAGCCCTTGGTCTTGCCACTGTGCAGCACTTACTCACCACTGAGCCCTACAAGGGCCATTTCCCAGTCCAAGAGGCTGATGCACAGCCACAGCCTCTGGATTTTGTCATGCTCCCATGCATCGTGGTGGTTGCCCCTTCCCTCTCCTTAATTCCCAGTACAGCCCTGTGGATGCACACAAGGGAACTGGTTCGGAGGTGCTCCAGGGAGGCTATCACCTCCCGCATCCCCAGCCCTGCTTCCCAGCCTTCATCCCCGCCGAGCATCTCCCTCACCTACGGAGCACACATTTGTTTTTCCTTTTGCAGGTTTTCACAGAGACTCTTGGCCAGACGGTGCAGACAGTGATGTATGCCCTCATCCTGCTGTGCCTGCTGATGTGTGTGTTTGCCGTTTTGGGACATGGATGGTATGGAGATCCAAAAACCGGAGACATTGAAAACTGGGGCAGCTTGAAGGCTGCCCTCTTCACGCTCTTCAGTTTAGTAACCGTAAGTACAGCAGCATTTTCCAGTCTGTCTCAGCTAAATGACAAAGTGCAGATTTTGGAGTGCTGCTGAAGAAGCCCTTTGATTAACCTGTGACTTCATTAGGGAGAGCATGAACTGCTTGGCAGTGAACTCATATTCCAGATCCCTGTGAAAATTTGCTTTGATGGACAAACTTCCCTACCCAGTATTGCAAATTCAGAGGGGAAAGTCTCTGAAGCTGACAGCAAAGGGATCTGTAGCAGCTGATTTAAACCTGGACCTCTGAGGAACAGAGAAACCGTGCTCGGTTTTAAAAAAGAAAGAAAAAGAAGAGGAAGATTTCATATGGCTTGTGAGTTATGCTGTGGTTTGGAACTAACTCTCTGGTCTGCTTAAATACATTTGCAGGTTGATGGTTGGACAGACTTACAGCGCAAGATGGATCATTATGGGTTTATGAGCAGCCACGTGTTCATAGTCGTGTTCATCTTGCTGGGCCACTTCATCTTCTTCAGTATTTTGATTGCACTTGTGATTACCAAAACCCAGGTCATGCGAGCTCTGTGCCTTGAGTGTGCACGCGTGTGTGAGCGTGTGTGAGCGTGTGCTGCCAGCTAACAGGCTCTGGTTGGAAAGCTGGTGCTTGGCTGCTTGCAGAAGTTGGCTTCTGGTGCAGCTAGAAACATCCTGGATACAGAAGTCCCCAGTCCCCAGGCAGAATAAGTGTATCTTTCCTCACGGTCCCCTTTTTGGGTCATGTCTACACGCCTGCCGTTCCTCCAGCACAGCCAGCCCCCAGCTCCCCTGGGCGCACACTTGGCACCCAGCTCCTCTCAGCCATAACCTGATTCTGCCTCCGTTTAACCCAGGGCTGCTCTCGTGGTCTTGTAGCTGCCTCTGGCCCTTCTGCAATGAACCCCTGCGTGGAGCCAGGGCCAGGGCAGCTGGGTATGCTGGAAGAATATGGCACATCCTATGCGAGAGGCATCTGCTCCCCAGCAGCTATCGGCTACCAGCCCCGAGGTGGTCCCGCTTAACACCTCTGGCTGCTGCACGGGGCTGGAGCTGGACCAGGGGTTTTTTGAAGCCCAAGTCTTCTTGACCGATCTCGTGACCCACCAGCTGAGTGGTGCTCGGGGCCTCACTCGCATCCCTGCGGTTTGGTGTTGGCAGGACTTGACTCAGAAGCACGAACAGGACTGCAAAGCAGCGAAGAAGGCTGCTGTTTGGGCCAAGAGACAGAAGATCCTGAAAAAGCGGGGGAAGAACGTGAGCAACCAAGTCACGCTCGAGCAGGTGGGCTGTGGTCAGTCGTGGGTGGATAGCACTGTCTCCAAATGTCAGATGTTGTTTAACAGGGCGTGGATGAACTGCTTTCAGTGGAGGAAAAGTTTCCTTTTCTTTCCTTGCCCATTTTTATATCATCCAGACTGTAGATCCTATATGGCTTTTTGGTGGGGTCATCACATGTGCGGCCAGAAGTATTATGATGGCACATAGCGGTTAAAGTATTATAAAGGTGGAGAAAAACTCTTAATCAGTTTTGATGTGTTTTGTCTGAGTTTGTTTAACTTCAAAGAGAAGTTTAAAAAGAAATCCTTTTAGGTCATGTCAAGCCAAGAGCCCTGTCCAGAAATGGCTTGGACTCACATTCTGCAAGCGCTCGAGGGAGGTTGTGCTCCTTCCCGTGCTCTCGCAGCCCGTTGATGCGACATATCCAAAATGCTACTACGGGCTTGAAACACATGCTGCAGCGTCTGTAGGAGAGCTGTGCACTGCTTGATAAAGGGCTTTTGCAAAGCTGACTTGAAATAAATGCAGTAAAGCTGTCACTGAAATGTAAATGATTAGAGCAACGTGACTCCCTGCTTCCACCAACTCTTCTGCTCATTCTTGCTTTTAACAAATGTAATTTAAAAATAATCAGTTCAGGATGGCTTGGTTGAGAGTGTTCTTGCCTTTGGGCCAGAAAATCACTGGTTCGAGTACTAGACTGAGTGACCGATTTGGGTCAGTGGTTTGGGTCCCACCCCAAGGGCAGGGGTGGGGGTCCCTGCAGAGCCACAGGACCTGCCTGCCTGGGTGGGTGCTGGGGAGACCCCGGGCTGCCTCCCCGGGGACAGGCATCCCCCTCCCGTCAGCTCCCGCACCGCCTGGCACGTCTGGCTGCTCCAAAAGTGCATTGGGGATGGGGGTCACAAACAGCCCCGTTTCCAGCCCACAGCCGGTGCGAAGCCCATGTAGGGGTCTGCAGGGTGACAGTCCTAAGTGTCACCTCCTTCTTGCTAACAACATTTTCTTCCTGGGCTTGTTCTTTTTTACAGCACAAAATCGCTCAAGGTGAAGGTTTCAGTGAGCTGCTGGATGACATCAAAAAGACTTTGCGCCTCTCTGATGTCATCACTATGGAGGGTTTTTGTTTCACCATCCCATTTATTCATCTGTATTTGCCGTTCCTGGACCTCCAGGATGACACACTGAACAGGTCAGTAACGGCAGAGCAGGTGACTACAAGAGAGACTCCAAGTTACAAAAACAGATGCCTTTTTGATGTACTGAATTATTTTCTTGGAACGAATGGACGTTTTGAGGCTGTTCTCCCTAGGGAAAATGCTACTGGTCTCAGCACGAGCAGTGCTGAGAGTCTAGGAAGGTACCAACATATGGCTAGAAATGGGACTGAAAGGGCTAGCGCCATTTCCCAGCACCGTGCAGTGTCGGTGTGGGATCAGCGTCCATCACAAACGTGCTCAATTTCCTGCTGGAAAATTCACCGTTCTTCATTGTTCTTCATTACGCCCCAGCCCCGGCACGTCCTGGGGTCCCCCGGGTGCACGGCCCCGAGTGAGGCTCCATCCCCCTGGTCTGGCTCCCATGTCCCACCCCTCAGCGGGCCTGGGAGAGAGGCGAGAGCACATCCCAGATTTCTGGGGGCAGTGGGGTTGGAGGACGTGTTTGCACCTAAGTTTGGGAGGTGAGGAGGACTTGCCTTCTCACAGCGGTAGTGCAGGCTGGCCCGTGCTTTGCCTTGGCAATGGACTTCTCTGATCTTGTCTGGGGGACGACTAACCCCGGGCAGAGTGTCTAAACCACATAACCAGAAAAACCTCCCACAAATCCCCCAGATGGAGACTGCTGAGTTTTACATGTCTTAAGGTTAACCTTAATGTGATAAAAGCCTATGATCACAGCTTGGTACCTATTATTTAAAAAACCCACGGTTTGGCCTCGAGTCGAGAAAAAATTCCCTGAATATCAAAAATTCCCTTTTGCCCCCATTCCCCAGGTGACTGTGGTTACTGTCAGGAGTCTCTGTATTATTTCCCCCCCGTACTTTGAATGCATTATCAGGACATGGCATACGATGCGGAGCCAGTCCTGGGCTGCGCTTCTGCCATTCTCTGATCTTTTGGGATAAGAATATTTATAAGGATGTTAAAGAAAGTCTGCAGAGCCAGGGGGCTCAACGTAATGGAAAATACTTGGGATCTTTCCATTGCTCCTCGCCCTGCCGGGTGAATGGAGGGGTGCTTGCAGAGGGTGCAGTTCTCTGTATGCCTTAGATGTGACACTTCCCATTTTGCGTGGTATTTGGGGATCTTTTTACCATGCTCTTCTCTCACTGCAGGTTGCAACATCACTATTACAAACGTACTGGCATATTGATGGAGATTGTGGAAGTCACGAAAGAAAAATCTCTGCCAGATCATGAGAAGACGAAAAGTTAAAAGCTCTTCAGGCAGAACATGATCCTTGGTGGCTGTCAGAGCTCTGCCTACAACCTCCTCTTCAAACCTTCATTAAAATAAGCCAGAAACAATTATGATTAAAAATAATTCAGAAAATATCTGCTCTCCTTTCTGCTCGTGGACCAGGAGGAAGCGCAGCCGCCGGTGCTGGCCCCGTGCTGCAGGCGGCCGCTGATGGAGGGAGGCACGTCGCCCTTGAGAGCTGGAGTAAACCGTGGGCTGGGAAAAGATCACAGCCCGGGTCCTTTTCCTGGAAACCTTGTGGCAAGGCTGGGACTAGAGCCCAGGCCTCCGGTGCTCTCCCTGCCAGCTCCCTCCTTCTGAGATCAAGCAGCCCCGGCATAGCGAAGGGGCTGCTCTGAGTCAGAGCAAAGCAACCCGCGCTACGGAAATGGATCGTGATATCTCTGAACGAAGCAGCTCGTTTCTGTGCTCTGATGCTGATTAGCATCTTGGAATAACCTGCTTGGGTTCCTTTTAATGCAAACACACCCACATGGCTTTGGGTAATCGGAGAAGGAAAGAGGAGACCTGCGGAGCGGCAGGCGTTCCTCCGCACCAGCCGTTCCTCCGCCCGGCACGGGGTGTACCGGTACCGAGTTACAGCCGCGAAGCCTGGGCACGATGGCCATGACAGCGGCGGTCGATCTGCCTGCGATGACAAGGAACGAGCCACCCTGACCCCCTCCTGGTTGTGCAGGCAACGGCAATTAGCAGAGCGGGGCTGCGTGGCACGGCCCCGCTTTACCCGCTTTACCTCCGACACGGTCCCCCGTTAGCACGCTATGGCAGGAACCGAGCGTGTCCAGAGAAGGGCAACGAAGCTGGTGAAGGGCCTGGAGCACAAGTCTGATGAGGAGCGGCTGAGGGAACTGGGGCTGCTTAG